ATAGCTTTGGGCAGCACCAACACACAGAGCGGCAAAATAACCATCACTCAATTTTTTTATGATATTATCAAGAATAAAAAAGCCACCTTGCAAAATGCAAAAAATTTTCTAAAAATCACGACCTATTTAAGATCCAATATGAGTCAAATCAGGCTTTCAAATTTAGCAATAATTATAAGTATTGAAGAAGATATTTCTAACAACTTGGATGTAGGCGACTTGATTAGGGAATTTGCTACTTAAAAACCGAGAAAAGTAGATTTTAGTATTTAAACCCGTTTAATTATTTTTGTGTTTTTTTCCTGAATGTAATTTTATTTTATTCTTTTATGTATTTGTTAATAAATACTTTGTTATTCTAATATAAAATTTGTTTATTGAGAATGATAAATTATGAACTCCTTCCATTACCGACAACCTAATTTTTTACATTAATAGGGGTGGCAAATTTAATTCTTGCATCCGGGCGGCAGATACCCTAGGCTCGGCTCTGGCTCAATTACAAAACAATTCATTATTCATAGTGATTTACAGTAATTTTATTAAATTATACAGACTATTCTCGTTGTTTATATTAGTTTGAAATAAATATGACAGTAAATTTCAATAAAAATACAATACTAACTCTAAATTCTAATTCTGAGCTGGCAAATGAGCTAGATGACCTTTATTCAGAAGCTACAAACCTATCGATGAAAATATGCATGAAATCAAAGTTGGTACAGTATCAAGTGTATTATAGTGATTTTTCTTAGCCGCGTATTGCGGAGATCGTTACCCAGTGTTGCCACAAGCTTATTTTTCTTCGGGGTAGATTATTACGAGATAGCCGCGTTAAATTGTTTTATAAAGGGGTAGATCTACCCCGAATGGGGTAGCTGTGGCAACACTGCCGCTATCACTTTTTTACTCACTAGCTCGCGCGTCACGACCGTCTCGCATGAGTCTCGCGGCCGTCATTCCAGGCCGTGTGTCACGTTTTCATGTTTTTTTTTAATTCTCTTTAAAACGGTATGGAAATTTTAAAAAGTATAAACGGAATTAACCATTTTAAAACAACGAAAAAATGATATGAAGAATACGTTTTTCTGAAAATGTCAACACTAAAAAATTTTTCCTCTTGTAAAGACAATCCGTGCCGTGGACATACTGTAGATGTTTCAGTTGTATTGTTTTTAAATATGAAGAGTTTGTAAAACTTGGAAAATAGATTGGTTATAATAATGGTTTATAATTCCGGAAACTCTCTATTTATTTATCTAGTAATGCTAGAACACTCTATTAATTTGAAAGTCGATTATAGAAAATAGTATGATTCATTGAGAAGCGATGTAAATATTTGCGATTAGGTAAAATTGTGATGTCAGAGGACAGGCTTAGCCTGCCGGCAAGTCAGCAGTAGGCGGGCCGGCCGGCTGTAAAGTAGTGTTGTGTTGTGTTTTGTCACAGAGCTGACATTTGGAGGTTGCGAGTCTTATGACTAAGGTTGCGAGTCTTTTGACTATTAGGATGCGAGTCTTTTGACTATTAGGATGCGAGTCTTTATGACTATTAAGGATGCGGGGATGCGAGTCTTTATGACTATTAAGGATGCGAGTCTTTTGACTACTACGATGCGAGTCTCTTTGCCTATTAAGGTCATGAGTCTTTTTGCTATTAGGGATGCCAATCTGTTTAGCGGCAGATTGCGTCCGGGGAAAGCCCCTATACTCATTACAGGTGACACCAGCTAGTTGTTGAAGATTATTAACCAATAGATCCGAATAATATTTGAATTAGATGGAAGATATGGAATGGGATATATTGAACAGAATGTCAGTGATGAAAGTGGCTAGGGGGCGGAGTACACCCGGGTGAGTTTTACTATTTAACTATCAATTTTATCCAGGTCAGTAAATGTTTGTTTTGTTATTTTCATGTACCATGAGAGCTTGCTTGCCAATGACCAATTAAATGGATATTTGAGGTGAATTTGCATTGTGAGACCCGGTTGAGTAAGCCCCAGAAATAAGCGATTTTACAAGTTAAAAATCATCCTGAATATTAACTCCTTTCGAATTGTTTTTTACGTGTAGGAGTTCCTTTACGTCGATTCGCCAAGGTACTGCCAATGGTACCGTCTCCGGAAGCTTGACAAATAGGATAATTTGCGTTTTAGAAAGACAAAAGGCGACGGGCATCAATATATTAGTACCACTCTGACTCCGCGACCGAAACTGGCCAATATCCAAATCAGTTATGGTAATTTTAATAAAAGTTACCTACTGCTCGAAGTTATTATATTTATCATTGGCGTAGTATTTTTGAATTGTATATTTGAAGCCAAACTTCTTACTAACACATATTAAATCGAAGGATATGAAGGAGTTGTTTGAAAAAGTAACATATAATGCTGTTTTAATATAAATATTATTTTCAATTTATTTCTGTAATCTGTACATTTTCTGTTTTCTCAATAATGCACAATACGTGTTTTGTTTGAATTTTTTAATCTATACTGTTATATAAAATCCTTAAGTGACTGACATACTGATTAATCACGATCCTGTTCAAGCCACTCAACGTAAGAAGCTCAATTTTTGGCATACAGGTTGATTTTAGAGATTGTAGAGGTTCGTAAAGAAGGATTTTTCGAAATTCCAGTTCCAGAGGGTGAAACCACCCCTCAAATATTATAATATTTTTTATTTAAAAACGGTCAACGGTTTCCGAAAAAACGCTAAACACGTATTATATTTTATTTTGTTTTTTACATATTTTAAGATTTTTTAAAAATTTATACAGGGTGTTTCGAAAAATCTGGTCATTGATTAATCACGATCCTGCCTAAAAGCGCTTGACGTAAAAGCTGATTTTTTTTAAATTTTTTTTTTTTTTCGATAAGAAGGGATTTCGATAAGAAGGGATTTTGAAACTCGAATTCTAAGGGGGTGAAACTATCCCTCAAATATTAAAATATTTTTATTTAAAAACCGGTGAGTTTTCGGAAAAACTCTTAAACGTATATTTTATTTTGTTGTTTTACATATTTAAATATTTTTTATAAGTTTATACAGGGGTGTTTCATAAAATATGACCATTGGTAAATTACGATTCTGCTTAAACTGCTTCACGTTTAAAGAAGCTGATTTTGTGACGGATTGACTGTGGGGTGTAGGGTTCGATAAAGGAGGGGTTTCTCGAATCTCAAATTCCAAGAGGGGTGAAAAACGCCTCAAATATTACAATATTTGTTATTTAAAAAACAGTTAGTCTTTCGGGAAAACTTTTGGACAAGCATAATTTATTTAGTATTTTTTACATATTTTGAAATATTTTAAAATCATACAGGATGTTTCAAAAAAGTTGGGCCATTTTCTTAACCACGATTCTGCTTAAACTGCTTGACGTAAAAAGCTTATTTTTGGCAATTTGGCAAACGGATTTTTTGAAAGTCAAATTCCAACTAGATGAAACTCATGCATTTCATTTGTTGAGAAAATATCGTAAAATTTACGAATGGTAAGTATTTGCAGCATTGCATTATATGGTTAGTATTCTAGGGTTAATATCGAGACAAAAAAAATAAAAAAAAATACGAACAATAAATGGAAAATCGGCAGGGCCGGCGACGCTGCGTTGGTCAAAGTTAAAGAAGTGTTTTTTGCCTGCGAATTTAACGGTCCGCGCTGCGTAAGAGAAGTGGACGGCGTTTACGACCGTTTAAGATACATGCCCCGGTCGCCGCAAAGGCCTTTTGTGGCCACTAAAATTTTAATTAAATTAAACAAAAAGCAGTCGACGAAAAAGAGCGACTTAATAAGAAAATTTGTTAAGTCGCTGCCGCGGCTGTTTGGTCAAAAAAGAAGTTAGTGCGTTATAGCGGTACGGTGGCTAAATAACACAGGTAATGGGCGAGTACGGTAAAAAATCGTATGGGAAGTTTCGGAGTTAAAATGAATGATATGATGAAGTAACTTAAAAAGAACATAAGAAAAAATCAGGCAAATAACCAAACAATATAATATAATATTAAGTCTCTTTTAAAGCCTGAATCGATTCTAAAGCCCTGGAGAGTATTAATACCATCCCAAATCAATTCTGATCCCAAATCATATAAACTCCTCCGCATAAAATTCCGCCATTCTAAAATTTTGACTAAGTTTCATGTTTCATAAGTTCTGAATTTGTAATCCTATTTTTTACATGATTATGTTAGTTTGTTGGCATTATTTTTATTATTTTAATGCTTTATACATTTCGGTTAGGTGTGTTTATTCCGGGGTAAATCAAAACTTCGTTTAGTGCAATAAATTCAAAACACCTTGTGGCGTGGATAAAAAAAAACACTTTCCTGCAATCTTAGATACATTTCTAACATTTTTTTTTATTATAATATACATTATCTATTATCTCCATTCTTTTATGAGCTACGTTTTGAATAAAATACTGATATTTTTACAATCTTGAATTTGTTGAAAATGGAACTCTCAATGCTCACCGTTATATTGAGAATATCCTCCTGAAAGTTGTCGTTCCATTTGCTCCTTTCATTGGAAATCAGTTTATACTGTTACATGATAATGCCAGGCCCCACGTTGCGCAGGGTAACGAGTTAGGAGTACGAGTAGTAAACGAGTACCTGGATGAGGTTGGACTACGAAGATTGGAATGGCCTCCTTGTAGTCCCGACTTCAATCCAATCGAACATTTGTGCGGTGAACTTAAAAGAACTGTTCGTCGTAGTTCTATTTCACCACAAAGTTTACAAGAGCTGTTTACATGGCTACTGTTTACTGATTACTTATATAAAGTTATTGTGCATTTCTTTTTGTTTACGACGCTTTCCGGAAATACCGAACAACCTGAAAAAGCCACTCACGGATAGTTTTTTATTAAAATGTGATTAAACAAATACTTCAATCTTTCTGAACGGCTGGCATTAACGGAGATTCCTTTGTTAATGCTAGCCTTAGTTCTTGTAAATGGTTTTCTTGATCTATAGTTTGATTAAGCTATAGATCAAGAGAGATTGTGCCGTGGAGTTTAGATCAGTTTATAGAATCAGTTGTGCTGAATGATATCCAACAGAGGTTTGAGGACACAAGAGAAGTAATTTGGCGAGAAGACTATAAACCTATTTTGGATAAAGTTACCAGAATATGCTCTAGAGTTAAAGAAACTCTTCAAGAAACCCAACAAAATTTGAAAGTCGCCAGTATCCAGAAACCAGACCCAATAAAGAGATTAAAAGAACTCTAATTATTTTCTCCCCTAGGGTTCTCTCTGATTCTGAAGACCAAATTTTGGGCAAAGGACTCATCTTTTCCCTGAATCTTGAGAAGATACTCGCCCTAGACAGAAGCATTAAACGTGTCCCGTAATGACCCAAGCAAATTAATCAAAATTGGTATGTTGTTTAACCTATCGACTTGCGGCAGCGATATGGCGGCACGTCGTCGTCGAGAAAAAATAAAAATCTTTTTCTAAACGACATCGCGCAGCTAGTACTTTTGTAGCATCCACCGCATCGGCGTCGGTCTATTTGGATTTTTTGGCCGTTAAATCATTTGTTTTTTTTCTGCCATGTCACAAACATGGGATGATGACGTCGACGAACGTTTAGTAAATTGTGTACGTACATTTCTAGTTCTCTAAGAGATGAAAAGAAACTCATATAAGGTAGCCAAAGACAATGCATGGTAAAATATCTTGATGTATAAATCAGAATGTTTCTGAAAAGATTCAGGAACGTGAAGTAGTAGAGCTAAATTTTCTTCTTCTTCATCATAAAGCAAAAGAACCGCAGCAATATTTCGACGAATAGCGTTCATCTTAATAAACTGCACTTTTGCTTCAACGACTTGCTGAACTGAAGTGTCGCATGGTAGAAAACACATTTGTCGCAAACCCGCAATTTGCGTCGCCACAGTTTATCGCACGTCGTTATCGCATGTCGCAGTGTCGGAAAGTAAAACATCCTACCTTAAGAGACATGAACTGGATACAAATGAACTGATTGAAGGAAAGAACAGCGATTGAAAAAACCAAAAAGCACACATCCAACGCCACCCGGGAAGATTCACTCGCTGTTAGGGAGACGAAAGAACGATAACATCAAAATTGTTCCAGATCCAGACAAGATAATAAGACGGTAATATTGAAGATAGAGGAGTATGATAGGAAAATCGAAGAGACGCTGGATAAAGGCAAATATAGCTCGATATCCAGTCATCCTACTATAAATAATCAAAGGAAAAATCTGCAGAACTTTATATATTTAAAATTTGAGTCCTGATTATTTTAGAACATTAAGAAAAATATATATTTTACCACTCAAACCTATCATTACTTCTTCACTAGATTCAGCAACTAGTAGTTTAGGTAGATTTCTCCTTTTGTCCAACTGTTATCTAGAATAAATATGTATATATTTGATATCAATTAAACTTTAGTTACGTGATCGAGGGCGCGATTTTTAAATTCATTGTTGCCAACCATGGACATATTCAGCGCCGAGCTGACTAACGGGAATTAAAATTTCCACTGGGGATTCAGGTGGTAGCTCTGCTGTAAAAATGCCAAGTTGCCAAAAAAATGCCATTTATTTATTTATTTCCTTGACGCAAAATGCCATTTATTTCTTGTCGATTGTTTTGACACTTTAGTGTATTTTTTTGTATTACGAGTTAGTTTTTGGTTTAAAATAAATAGTGTTGTGATTCTTTGATTTGTGGTTAAAATGTTTACTAGCAGGCCTTGCAGTCGAACATTGTTCTTTTTAAGAACCTCTTTTAGTGCAGAATGGTACAAAATAGCTTAATATCCGTAAAAACTAATCATAACTTTATTAGAATATTTTGAACAGCAAAGCGGTAGTATGGCCCTTTATGTCCGTTTATGTGCTGTTAAGGATGTGAGATTGGTTGATATAAATAATAACTGTTTATATATTTATAATTGATTTATTTATGTTTCCTAAAATATTTTTTATTATAAAATATGTAAAAGTGGGAAATGCTGTGGTGGTCAAGCTTAACCACGTGACTAAAAGTTTATTTGATATTATACTTGTATAGGTATTATGAACTATATATGCTGTTTGCTTTATTAGTAGAGACGCTTATATTTTTGACTGTGAATAACATAATATATACCTACTTACAGGGGTGGATGGGCCATATGGGAAAACAGGAAAATTCAGTGGGCCAGTCCCGACAGAGCCAAAAGATTTGATTAAAAATTAATGGTTTATGCTCTTCCTAACTAAAGTGACGTAAGATTCTTAGTGACCCCGTAACTAACTAATCCAATTTGCATAAAAGTAGAATCGTTAGTTGCTTTTAAACATAAACACCAATTTGTAAAATAACTATTGTAAAATGTCTTTCTCTGGACAGGGACAGTTCTAAAATCCGAGTCTGAGAACTAAAAGCAAAGTCTAAATTGTTGTTTAAAATGTTGCTAAAACGAATTTGCTAAACATAATTTCTCTTTATCCGAGGTTTCAAATAAGTCCAATCGAGGTTATTTAAGTTTGGAAATTTAAAAATATATTTATTTTTAAAAAAATTTGAGCCACCATTTTTCGGTATTTGCATCTCTTTTTAGTGCCGTAATATCAGAGTTTAAGAAACTATACCGTGGGAAAATTTGCGTTGAACAGGAAGTTCTAAAAGTTTTCTAAAATATACAAGGAAAATTTAAAAGAAAATGCTCTAAGATTTTTAACATCTTTTGCAAAAAAGCCCTCATAAACGTGTTCCTGGGGGGTTGAAATACACCACCCCTGAAAATATTTGCACTTGTTTAAGGTTTACACTGATAGTTTTACCCACTATTCTTTATTAATAACTAATAAATATGACTGACTGGCAAAAAAAGAATGAATAACATTAGGTAAATTTAAATAGTCTCGATTTAAGTGTATACTAAGAATACAGTAGCGTAAATTGACAACTGGGGGCCTCGGTGCAGCTTTATTTTTTTTGAGGCTCCCAGCACATGAAAAAGCTAGACAGATTTGACAGGAACCCTGCGGTTGACGAGGAGGAATCAGAAAACGTATCTATGCTTGGCTTGACTTGGGGACGGACTAAAAACCAAGTCTGAGAACTAAAAGCCAAGTCTAAATTGTTGTTTAAAATGTTTACTTTCACAGATGAATTTACTAAAATTATTGAGACAGCAGAGAAAAGTTAAATAAGGTTTAAACTAGATTAGATAATACAAAATATTAATAGAACTTTCGAAAATCCAAATATTCTTATTATGGACTGTAACATAGCATTACATCAGAACACATATAGCCTTGTAAGATCAACTGCCTAGGTATTGCCTAGGTTTTCGTTGGAGATCTTGGCATATCATTATCTTAATAACCTAAAAATGCTGCAGTTTTAATGGCGACCGCGGTTCATTCAGTTAAAAACACGTATACACGAGGAGGCTGCTACTGTAGCAGAAAAGAGAGAATTTCTTTCTACAATGTGTAAGAAAGTATATACCGTAAAATGGGGGTTACTTGGGACAAATTGACTATATTTTTTTTAGTCATGTGGTAATTTATAAAAGTTTTTGTGAAGAAAAAGCAACAATTTATGTGTAGAAAATTTCCTTTATATGTATTTAACCTATAAAGCATCATAAATGGTTCCTAATGTAAGAATATTTCTAAAAAAACTAACATATTTACTGTCCCAAGTTTCCCCGCATTAGGGTTAAATGGGACTGTAACGGTTTTATACGGAAAATGCATGTTAAACTACTCACGGGTTACTTGGGACAGCAGAAAAAAAAAAAAATACACTAACACACATCTTGAGTTGAAATTTTTTTCTCAGATAATTATTTAGAGGAAAGAAAAACTCAATTTAGTATAAACTTATTAAAAATATATATTTATTCCTTAGAAAATCTAAAAATTCTTCAATAAACATAATACGAACAAAGTCTTACGATTTGATTCATAAGGACAAAAAGGAACTAAAAAACATTTTGTAAACACAAAAAAAATAGATTGATTGCATTCTCCTTATTGTAGCCAATCAGTATTTTCTAACCCATTAAATGTATGGCGGCCTTTAGTAATGCTCACGTCTTCTGCTTTAGCACTCTCACAATTTTATCCTATGTGATATCATACTCATCAACTAAATCTGGGAACACAAAATGTTTGTTGTTTTCTGTAGATTTTCTCATAGAACTGCCTCTGATAAGTTCGTCTTCTCCCTCTTTTTTCAAAACTGTGGGTCTTCCATATCTTTCCTAGAGATTCTGATTTTTACATCTTCTCTGTAAAGTTGATTTGGTTACTTTCCATTTGTCTGCCGCTGTTCTATAGGACATTTCATATTGTAGGTACGTCTTCTGCCGGCCACTTTCCATATTTTTCTGGCTTCAAAGTCATGATATTTTTTAGAGCTATTTTGCCGAGATATATTTTTCTTGGCATGTGGAGCACTGAAAACAAAATCGATTAAATAACATGGGGTAACTTGGGCCAAGGGCTAACTTGGGACAATTGTTGACCCAAGTTTTTTTATATAAGTAAAATACTATCACTTTATATAGAATTCCTTTAATTAAATCATCAACACATTGTTCTTTAACGAACCAAAACATTAAATGGAGTTATTTTTTGCCATTTGCGTTACATTTCCCATATTAAATTAGAAATTAGAAAAACCGAAGTTGCGTCCCAAGTAACCCCGACGTCCCAAGTAACCCCATTTTACGGTACCCGAAAAGCTAAAAGTAATGTATTTCACAGAGGATTGGGTCAGCTGAACTGAATGAATCAGGAAGTCTTAAAGTTTCTCAAAATCGTGACTCAAAATCTTAGCCTATTCAAGATCAAATTACCGTTCTCGATAATGGAAATAAAGCAGTTGAACCCTGTAAAACTGAGCCATTTTGTAGTAAAGATTCAGATGTCCGACCCAATATTGGTCTTTACTAAGAATTTTGATCAAGACAATTTTTTTTTAAACCGGAGGCCAAAGAGCTTTTTCGCACGAGCGAAAAACACCATAAGTTATATATTAATAAATAACTTAACCATTAATCAATAAGAGTATGTTTGCTTCGTTATGGTCATTTGTTTTTGTGCATTTGGGCCGGTTGTCAGTTTTTCCCGGGCCGGTTTCCACTTCCCCATCCACTCCTGCCTACATAGGACAGTAAATAAGATATGGTAGATATAGGACATTTTGTTGTAGTTCTGTTTTATAACAAAGAAAATTTTGGAAATTTTTGTATAA